AGTAAATAATTCTGGTCTTTTCCATGAAGAAGAATCATCATAGTTTCTTCTTACATTAATGCATAATTAGGAGGAATATTATTAATCATAATACAAGTCATCTTGCATTTATAAGATACTCTTCTGCAGGCAAGGAAAGGTGATGCACCATTAGGAGAGCAGGCACATGTAGAGAACAGGTCATCCCACTCCTGCTCCCCAGAGCAGAGGTCAACAGAGATACACTTTGGTGTGCTAAAGTGGCTCCACCAAGGGAAGAGAGAGCCACAATGTGCACCTGTCTATCTCTGCAGAGTTAGAAGGGAAGGAGCAATGTTTTTCAAAGTATGGGAGACTTCTGGGTTCCCCAGAATCCCCCAGGTCTGGAAGATTCTTCTATAAGCTTTTAAAATTATTACTGTCCATGCTAGGAAAGCAGTCAGGGATCTCTCCCTTTATTAGCCATAAGTCATTGCTTCCTACTCCCCCACCAAATGGGCATATCATGAATCCTCGGGCTCCAGATCCTTCTCCTTATATTGGAGTAGGGCAAGGATTGCAAAGTCCAAATGCAAATCATATTTCAGCCACAAGAGGTACCAAGACTGTCTCCCATTTCTCTTCAACCATGAAAAAAAACAAGACATCCAAATATTCTAAAAGGCCAAAATCAAAGAGAAAAGCACAGGACTGGTCATTTCTCCACACTTCAGACCAGTCTTACTCACTCACTATCTCCTACCATTAAGGGGCAGAACTTTTTTTAGGACTTGAATGTGGCTAGTTGGACACAGACTCTGATGCAGATTCAGAGAAAAACCTTTATGTGTGTAATGGTCTGGTTCTTAGAGCTGATGGACCAAATTCTGCTGGATGAAGTATTCAAATGTGAGGTTAGGTAACTGGAATTTGTCTCAAAGATGGGATAAGAAAATATTACTGTGACAGGATCCCTGGGGTGCAACCTGGGACCATGGCGCCCCCTTATCTCTCCAGGCTGGGCTGTCTCTCACAATGCTTTGCTAGTGACAAGCAGCAAACCCCTCCAGGCCCTGTTATCACTGAGCACAATAGCATGTGGAGCCCCACACCCAGCAAAAAAATCCATGAATTCTCCCTGAGCCACTCATGAATCACGCAGAAAAAGGCACCAGCCAAATCGCCCCAGCTCGCAGCCTTCTACCTCAGAAATATACCATGCTCAAGACCCTTTCTTGAACAATGCAAGTTCACCACTTCATCAATGGAAAGTGGATATACACCAGCCTTTGTAAACCTGAGCAGATTTGCCAAATACTTCAGGCAAACTCACTGGTAAAGATAAACAGTAAAACAAGTGTAATGATTACAAAGGAAAGATTTTAAGTGATAGGCAAAAAGTCAGAGTGGTTACCAGCAGAAAAGAAAATATAAGCACACAGTCTAAACCTTAACCCTTATCACACTAGACAGTATTAAGATGGAGCAATGTTCCCACCCTACTGGATCTTACAGTCCTTAATATACAGGCTTGTCTCTTAAACTTGGGCCAGTCTCCTCTGTTGGAGCCTTCAGTCTTCCGAGCATTCTTGTTGCTTGCAGCTTAGGTCAGGGGAGGAGAAAAGGCCAAGCATATGCCCACTGTGTTCTGTTTTTTACCCTTAGTCTATGTCAGGGGTGGGCAATAATTTTTGAGGGGGGACCACTCCACAAATTTTGGTAAGTAGTCACGGGCCGCACATTTCTACTATATTAATGGAGGGGGTGTAGGGTCTGGGAGGGAGTTTGAGTACAGAAGGGAGCTCAGGGCTGGTGCAGGAGAGGGTGAGGGGTACAGGCGGCTCCCGGCCAGCGGCACAGCAAGGCTCAGGCAGGCTGCCTGCTTGCCATAGCCCCATGCTGCTCCCGGAAGCAGCTGCGGCCTGCTGGCATATCTCTGCGCACCCCTTGTGGGGAAAGAGGGGCAGAGGGTCGCCATGCACTGCCAGCACCCGCAAACACCACCACCACGGCTCCCATTGGCCAGTTTCTGGCCAATGGGAGCTGTGAGGATGGTGCTGGGAGTGGGGGCAGAGGTGTGGAGCCGCCTCCCTCCCCCTGCCATTGACGCACGGAGACATGCCAGCAGCAACCGGCCGCAGCCACTCTGGGTGCTGCATGGGGCCACAGCTGGCAGGCAGCCTGCCTGAACGCCCCACTATGCCGGGGGACTTTTAGCAGCCCGGACTCAGAGATCACAAGGGGGCAGAGGAGTCCAGACAGAAATATTAGTCATGGCAGGCAGACAAATTTTAGATGGGCTGGATTCTGCCTGCGGGCCATATTTTGCCCACCCCTGGTCTATATGCTTGGAGAACACAAGTCCAGGCATGTCTGGTGAGCATTGCTGAATTACTGGGCAAGGTTGAGCAATTCCCCTAGCGTGGCCTTGTGCAAGTGAGTCATTGAATTGTAACTCCCTTGCTGGACAATGGCAGTTGACGATTGTTCGACACCCGCCTGAGGGTTGGTTATCCCCCTGTCTTTGGGGGGCTAGTCTCTGGGCACTTCCCATATTTTAGTGACAATCATACAACACAATTCTCATAACTTCATATGCATTCAGCATCTTGCTCCCCTGGGGTGTAGTGTATCACAATTACTCCCAGAAGAGAAGGGAGACAAAAGCAAACCTAATGCATGATGTTAGGGATGTCCTGCAGAGATGCCCGTATAACTAGATTAGTTAGCACACTAAGCTATCAGTCTATATAGATGTTTATACCAAACCCATCACCACATATGAAACTGTCCAACCAGGGGTCATGATTGGAAACAGTAAGAGAAACCATACCAATTGGCTTCAGCTCCAGGAATTACAGTTGAACGGAAAAAAATTGTCCAGACTATCACTTCAGCCCTCTAATGACTGAGTGTGCAAGGTTGCTGTTCCAGTCTCTTTCTTAGTAGTTTGCCTAATTATAATAAATGTTGTGAATTTTAATGAACCAGCATCTACGAAATAAGCAAGTTTTATCCTATGTTATAGGTGTAAAGTCTGTATATAAGCTTTTGCTTCACAGTATCATTTGTACAGTAAATGCCTGCCAATTGTTTCCCAACGTGAAGTCCCTAATTAGACAAATGAAATCTGATTGGCTTCTTTGAATCGGGGCCTGTGGGGGGCTGCCTTTTTCACTGTGTCCAGAGGAATGGTCATGAAAAACACCTGAATAAAAGCACTAAAGAGCCTGTGTGCCCCCCAGTGATTTCTGAGGCTCCGTTTCACATGCTTGTAAAGATCGAGTTATAAGCTTCCTTCGTGCAAGTTCCACTTTCTAAGTGGACATTGTGTTTTGATTATTTTGAACCTGAAGTCACAAGGGACCTGTTGTAATTAGAATTACTTTTGGTTGGAGTTGAAAATGTATTATAGCAGTGAAAAACCCCAGAGGAAGGTTTCTAATAGGATTTCACTGGATTTATTCATTTGTGGGACAGACAGTCAATATTTGAGGTACAAAAAGTCAATAAAAGTAAAAAGCCCATTTATATTCAGAGTATGTTATAGGCTGTGGCTTCGCCAGCTAACTATTGAATCTTTTTTCAAAAAGAGCTACTAACTACTTTGAAAAACGGGCTGTCTGGGGAAATACCTTACTTTTTATCCTTTAAAAAAGAGGGCTTCCCACTACAACTTCTTATCATTTACAGAATAATTAATACAAAATGTAATTTAATCTTAAGAATTAAACACTGCACAAAAACAAACTGTTTAGCGGAAGCAAGAGATAAAACCTCTATCCATCCTGTGTTCATTATCTGTAACGTAGAGGAGAGAATCATTTCCTATTATGCTTTCAGAATACCATGTGTAGGGGGATGCTCTGCCACTGTAAAGCTCTTCCTGCCATGGCATAAGAGGGAGGGAAAGTGCTCTGTGGGGAAGAATGAAGAAAGAGGGGATTATGATGGATCAGAGTTCCACTACACATGATGCCATGCTGGGATATGATCTGAGCTCACACATCTAACAGAAGTAAGAGTAAGGCCCCTTCTACTCTAACTTCCACAATGGCTCAGTGGCCAGGGACTGGGAGTCAGTGCTGATTCCCTGTGACTGCCTATGCGCTCAGACACACTGGAGAATCAGGATCTCTGCTCCTTGACTAGATGAGTTATAACTCTTACTGTCAGATTTCCAGTACAAATACTCATGTTTGTGAATTTAAAACTCACTTTTCCATGAATGTTCTCTAATATTAACTTAAAACTTTCCTCCTGTAAACTCATTTGCTCTGTCATCTATGGAAAGTGAATACAAAGGAGTGAGAAAACAGTTAATGAAAATTCAGTTAATGTATTCATGTGAATATTCACCCCCACAAAAATTGAGGTATTCGCCTGAGAGGTAAATTATCAATGTGGGACTAATTTCAAGCAGATGTTTTGCTCCTAACCACTGTCACTGCTCTGCAGCCAGCCCCCTTCACTGTTCTGTTCTCTTTAAGAGAGCAACTGTGAAACTGAAATGAACTAACCTGTTTTGCTCACATATTAATGGGGGGAAGGGATGGGAAGGTTCAAAAGTGCATAACTTCATATGGAATATGGGAATTACATGAAGCACTTTTGCATGTTTCCTGAGTCCTTTTCCTACGAACAAAAAAAATCCTGATTTAGCAAATATAGCTGAATTGATTAATAATAAAACTTATTTGTAAAAGATGTCTGCCATATTCTCCCACGCTATATTTTTCTTCATAAAATAGCTCTCAGCTACAGTAGTATCTAAACATCATAGGATAAAGTAGCTCTAGATGATGATTTCTGAGAGATTAGTCATGAAACTTTGATCTAGGATCCACCTTTCTCCAGCAATTTAAAACAACCTGACATCTATCCCCGCCCCACCACCCTCCCCCCCCCACACACACAAACATATACTGACAATTGCTAGCAGCCTCATCATTATCTGTCAATTGGCATTGTTGATCTTCTCCGTTTTTCAGGCATGACATGATGGTACCTGTCATTTACAATTTGTTTTAATTATTCCTCAGGTCTCCTGTTATGGCTGGAGGTCTGTTTGCCGTGGACCGAAAGTGGTTTTGGGAGCTGGGTGGCTATGATCCAGGCTTAGAAATATGGGGAGGAGAGCAGTATGAAATCTCCTTTAAGGTAAGTCAAGTCACTTCCATTTAATAGTTACTTACTCTGTTTGGTATGACTCCAAAGGTTTGGGGTTTAGTTATCCGAACCCAGATTTGTGATGCGCTTTATCATCGTGTTGCCTTTATTCATACTGCGTATTGCTCCATAGTCAGACCTCGTTCTGTACAATATTCCTCTGTTTTATAAAGGAGTTTCCACTAATTTCAGTGGAAAATGTATGCCATAGATCCCTGAGGCCATACAAAAGTCAAATAATTGCATATTTCAGGCCAGTTTTTCAATATCCCATGATGCGTTAATTGCATATTTGCTTTTGTGTATGCCTACCTATGTACACAAGTGTCCTTTGAGTGTGTGCATGCATTTTTTATGTGCTTAAGTTGCTTATTTGCCCATGTCTAGTTGGCAGCCATATTAACTTCCACAAGCACATCAGGTACCTGTATGCATTAAGTAGGTGTATGCAAATGTACCTAATTTAGAATATGTAATGCATTATGTTCAAATATAAGGTACCCAAGGAATTAAAGACTTTGCCTTTTAGCCTCTTCACCATAATAACTTTCTCTTTGTAGCTAGAGTTTCAGGGAATAGTCAAATGACACATCAACATTACAGTTCACATTTAGCTTCAGGATTTTCCCAGCCTAGTTCTAAACTTCCACAAAGCACAACCCCAATTTACAATGGAAGAAATATAGTACATAAATCATAGACTACATTGTACACCTAGCTACATCTGAGTTTCAATGCTGGAGAGAACAAAGTATTGAATGAAATGCACAGAAGCTAACCTAGCAAGTCTGTACTCCCAACTGCTATGCTGTTTTTAATGGATGTTCTTAGGAACAGCTAAATGACTTGCATAACTGTGTTGCTATCATGTTAGTTTGAATCAGCTTTATATAAGAGCAAAATAAGACTGGAGGGCAAGAGAAACTCACAAGATAAATGGATGAACGGGTTGTTCGGATACACCAATTCTGCATTCTGTATACTCGTATACTCATAAGATTTTATTTGACCATTTCCCATATTCCTGTTATTTGTCATTGTGAAGAATAAAATTGGAATGCAGCCCATTCCTCTTTGTGTAGAAACCATAGTAACGGCACTGGAAGTTCAGATACTAAATTGACCCAGCCTGTTTTGTTTTAGCGACAGATTTTTTGGAAACAACTATGTCACACTGGGTCCTATTTCAGTCGTATCTCCTCATTCATCTCATTACTGTATATTTACCTTAGGTTCCTTGTCCTTCCTTATTAGCGTTAAAAAAAACATTAAACAGGATTTTGTAGCATTTGACTAGAAGGAATAACAACTTTCTGTTTGTGGATGTTCAACAAAAGCAGAAAGGTCACTGCTTTCTATGGAATAGTGAAAGGAAAAATAAGATCAGCAGAGCAAGAGAAAGCAACCGAGAAATACTTTTTGATATATAGGTCATTAAGTGAGGCTATGTCTACACTACTACTGGCTCGACACTCCGGCGATCAATGCACCGGGGGTCAGTTTAGTGGGTCTAGTGAAGACCCGCCAAATCGACTGCAGATCGCTCTCCGGTCAACCCTGGTACTCCACCCCAAATGAGAAGAGTAAGATAAGTCAACTGGAGTCACTCGCCCATCGACCCAGTGCGGTGTAGGCACCACAGTAAGCAGGGGTGAAAGTAAGTCAGTACGCTTACTGGTACAGGGCTGGGGCGGGGCCTCAGGCAGAAGGGGTGGGGGTTGGGGGTCAGCATCCCCCAGCCAGCCCTTCCAGGCTGCCCGGCCCACACTGCCCAGCGTTCCTGTGTTGATTTAAAGGGCCCGGGGCTCCGGACGCCACTGTTGCGATAGCTGGCAGCTGCTCCCTTTGCCCCCCAGGGCAGCTGCTCCCTTTGCCCCCCACCCCTGCCAATCAGCGGCGGGGGGGAGCAAAAGGGGCAGGGACATTAAAGCTCTGCAGGGTCCTTTGCCGCAACAGCATTTTAATGTTGCTGCCACGGCAAAGGACAGTCCTCCCCCACACCACCCCACCCCCGGTCAGTGGCCCTGCTGGTACGGACCCTACCAGCAGGGCCACCTACTGGGGAGACTGCCGTGCCAGCGCTTTAATGTGGGCTGGGTATGGGCCGGTGCGGTTCTTACTGGTACGCCATACTGGCCCGTACCAGCTCACTTTCACCCCTGACAGTAAGTTAACTTAAGCTACATCAACTCCAGCTACATTATTCATGTAGCTTGAGTTGTGTAACTTAGATCAACTTACCGTGGTAGTGTAGACATAGTCTGATACTATTGTTACTCGTGATTGGGAACATTGGAAAATAAGCCCCAATTAATCTTGAAAGCAAAAATCAGCCTTGGAGTTGGTCAGTTTTTGAGCATTATTGGATAATTTATTACAACACCAATGCGCTATGGGCAGGAATAAATAGGAATTCTACAAAATAAACCTCAAACATTCCAACAAGTGAAAATAAAAATTCTAAAACTACTTGATATACTAAATTTGATTTGCTGTGCCTCTATTACATCTATGATCTTGCGGTTATGGTTTCCTCACAGCTAAGCATAGTCAAGCCCAGTCGGCATGTGGACAAAACATTTGCATATTGCAATGATGTATGTGTTTGGTACTGAACCTGTCTCATTCACAAAGACTTCAGCACAAAGACGTTTTGTAGGATCAGGAATATTTTTCCCTAGAAGTCAGTATTGAACTAATAGCTGAGAAACATGATGTTACAGGGAGTGATGTGTCCCACAGATGCCAACTGTTGCATGAGATTTAAGCCTGACATTCTGACAATTTGTGACTGTCAAAAGTTCTATGGGATCTTTAATGAGAGTACAGATAATATCCTGGCCAAATGCCAGTTTGAGTAATTATATTTAGCCTACCTACAGTTTCCCCTGAAGTGTCAACTAGATACAGCATTCTTTGCACTTCCTGTCCCAAATGGCTCTGTAATATTGCTGTGTGTTGTTAAACTGTCAGGTTTCACCTCAGACTTGACTGCATGTCAGTTAAAGGTCACAAAGTTGAAGATATGGAGTCAAATTTGAATTTTCCCATAGTTTGGGATGTTCAGATCTGGAGGTTTGGTTCAGGCCCATCTCTAATTTCAGTGACAGATGAAGTGACCCCTATGTATTATTTATAAATCAGTTTGAATAAGGCTTTGTAATCACTCAGATTTTTTAAAGTTTGCCTGACACTTGTTTCTCGGTTTGCAGGAGGCAACGTGGTTCCCTTTTGTTAGCGTCAGTCTCCATGTAATATCATCAGAGATGGCAGAAGTTAGCACAGCTCTGATATCGTGTTGATTAACTGAAATTTCAGAATCAGAGTATACCAGCATAATGGGTGGCTCTTGAGGGAGAGGGAACCATGCCTTGTGTCTTATACATATTAAGTCTTCAGAAAACAGTCTCCAGATTAATTTTTTTAATAAAAAATAATATATTTTGTTTTTCTGACAGTGTAATCCCAAGATCATTTTTTAATTAAAAAGATAGAGACTCCTGCTAATACTCTTCATCATGTGATAATATTTTTCAAGCTAGTGAATGGCTGGAACTGGACAGATTAACAATGCCTTTTTTCACTAACCAGTAGGAAAGTGCTGTGTTACACTAAGAAACTGCACCATCTACTCAGGACACTCCCTACACTAACACAGGAACAAATCAACATACCTTTAGAGCCCCGACCGCGGTTATTCTGTCTACTACCCAAGATCCACAAACCTGGAAATCTCGGGACTCCCCATCATCTCGGGCATTGGTACTCTCACTGAAGGACTGTCCGGATATGTGGACTCTCTACTCAGACTCTACGCCCCCAGAACTCCCAGCTATCTCTGTGATGCCACTGATTTCCTGAGAAAACTACAATGCACTGGTGATCTTCCAGAACACACCATCCTAGCCACCATGGATGTAGAGGCTCTCTACACAAACATCCCACACACTGATGGAATACAAGCTGTGAGGAACAGTATCCCTGATGATGCCACAGCACAACTGATTGCTGAGTTCTGTGACTTTATCCTCACACACAATTATTTCAAATTTGATGACAATATATATCTCCAGACCAGTGGTACCGCTATGAGCACCTGCATGGCCCCACAATATGCCAACATTTTTATGGCTGACCTTGAACAATGCTTCCTCAGCTCTTGTCCACTCACGCCCCTTCTCTACCTATGCTACACTGATGGCATCTTCATCATCTGGACCCATGGGAAGGAAACCCTGGAAGAATTCCACCCCACCATCAACCTCAGCCTAGACCAATCTACACGGGAGGACCACTTCCTAGATACCATGGTGCAAATAAGTGACAGTCGCGTTAACACCACCCTATACCGAAAACCCACCAACTGCTATGACTACCTTCATGCCTCCAGCTTCCATCCCGGACACACCACACGATCCATTGTCTACAGCCAAGCACTGAGGTACAACTGCATTTGCTCCAACCCCTCAGACAGAGACCAACACCTACAAGATCTTCACCAAACATTCTCAAAACTACAAAAAGAAAAAGGAGTACTAGTGGCACCTAAGAGACTAACCAATTTCTTTTTGCGAATACAGACTAACATGGCTGCCACTCTGAAACCTCTCAAAACTATGATACCCTCAAGAGGAAATAAGAAAACAGGTCAACAGAGCCAGACGTGTACCCAGAAGCCTCCTGCTGCGAGACAAGCCCAAGAAAGAAACCAACAGAACTCCACTGGCCATCACATACAGTCCTCAGCTAAAACCTCTCCAACGCATCATCAGTGATCTACAACCCATCCTGGACAATGATCCCTCACGTTCACAGGCCTTGGGAGGCAGGCCAGTCCTCACCCACAGACAACCTGAAGCATATTCTCACCAGCAACTACACACCACACCATAGTAACTCTAACTCAGGAACCAATCCATGCAACAAACCTCGATGCCAACTCTGCCCACATATCTACACCAGTGACACCATCACAGGACCTAACCAGATCA